CCTCTATGCGAATGGGCTGTTTTTGAGTGCTCACGTTGCCAAGAAGTTGATCCCATATGGCTGGGCTCTGACAGCTGCTTGCAGGCATAGTTGTCACACGGTGTGAACTTTGCTCTTTTTAACGTAGTCGTTTCACTCGTTTTAATTCCTTTTTCTTGCATTGTCGCTGAGGAAGGCTACGGCTTCTTAGCGTCCATGTGCGCGGAGCGCGGGTACTGCCTCTACCGGGTGAAGCCCAAGCTTCACACGCAAGAACACTTTCCGAATCTAATTTTGAGTTTGGAGTTGTGAACTTTTTGTTTGGCACGCTATCCCCGCTACTGCTTCTTTTGGTGCAGACCTTGTTCAGCGGTGCTCTCCAGCTCAGGAAAGAGTGGGAGCTCCAGCTCCAAGCTGGGGCTGTGTGGCTATTGAATTTTTTAGCCTTTGCATGCTGGCAAGACGAAGATTTTATTGGCAGAACATGCCGGGTATCACGGGCCACACACCCTTTTACCACAGGCCCACGTACCATCTTTCGATGTCTGATGGCATACAAGCGAATTTTGAAAAGAGAGATTCGACGGTAGTTCGGAATTCTGCACATGTCCCAATCCCAAAACTGTGCCTTAAAACCTATAGCTATGCTCTAGCTTGAGACCGGATCTCTCGATCAATGAGTGACTGAGTGCCCCGGCCGTGCTGAAAGTCCAGCGCAGATAGTGCATCAGGTTGCGAGGTGGGTGGTGGGAGAAGGGTAACAAAGACCTTCAATTGATATCCAAAATCTTGCTCGAGCACTTTTTGGGAAATCGTCCTCTTTTAGTGAACTCGTACCAAAAAAACTCGTACCCAAGATTTTGGTATCAATTGAAGGTCAAGGGAAGTGAAGAACTTGCGTTTTCGCGAGGATCTAAGATGGTTCCAGCACGTTCCAACTAGTTAAAGTGTTTGATCCACTTCATCTAAGCATGATCCCACAGTTGAAAGTCTGAGTTGTCTCACTTGAGAGCTGCACGAATCAGACGAATCACCTTTCCTGTTTGAGTAACATCGAATACCTGCAGGTGGGGAGAATAGGGCTGGACGTCCCTTCCAAAATTTACTTCATATTCTTTCCATGTACAGAAGTCTGACAGGCCCTGCACGTAGTACACTTTGGAGATGAACAATGGACGGTGCCTGAAACGGACAGCTTTGCACTTCTCCTAGGAGGTTTAGAGGCCTCCCACTGAGGATGAGTCGTAACAAGATGTAACAAGTGCATCGCTACTAGTAACAAGGGCATCGCTACTAGTAACAAGAAGCTACAAACGTAGCGATGCGCTTGCTAAAAAGTAAAGAGCTCCCAGGAAGAGAGACCTATAGAGACACTGGAGCTTCACAGGGAACTCCGCGTACATGTGCAGGAACCTGTTTGTCGTCATACTACAACTCTCTTGAAGCATCTTGCACATCTATTCGCAGAGAAAGTACTACTCGTACTTATAACGACCCTACCAGTGGGGTTGGGGGTCAAGGGTGTGACCAGCTCTTCCTTTGCCAAGAAACTTGTTGCCTAGCTCCATCGTGCTCCCTGAGAGGACACTTCTTTTTGTCCTTCGGAAATGCATGGAAAGGCGGAAAGGTGAAGGTCTTCAAGAACAATGAACTGCAGGCCACTGCAGGACGGAAAGATGGGCAGAAGAATGGGCAGAACAGTCTGGCAGTAGCTGGCTCTGAATGTGTTTTTGTGTTCTACTTGGTGTGTCTTCCTTCCGAAAGGTAACGGCACCTTGGGGAGCTCACCGTGTGTTTCTTCGGCACCTTGGGGAGTTTGGGGGGGCCACCAGTTCTGTTTTTTGTGTGAGCTACAGAGCTACGGCCATGAAGAAGAGATGAGTGAGGTAGACATCATGTTGGACCGATGTTTTGGTTGGTTCATCCAAAGAGCCAGCAACAGGCAGGCAAGATCTGCCGATGAAGAATTGAGACCCGACAGAGTGCCATGGGACCAACGCCGAAGCCTGGGCTTTCGAACAGCTGCAACAACGACCATGTTCGTCAACCAACGAGGAACTGACGGTCTAGATAGGGTGTAGACGGTAAAAAATTATCGGCCTGCAATCTAACCATCATCATCCACTGGAACCTGGCAATGGTGTATACATGTGTATACCAAAGGTCTGGATCATCAGGGACTTGCCAGTTGGAGCAAACAGCCACTCCGCTTGCGCGAATCAAGACTTGCCAAGGAAGGCTGTCGGACCTGACAAGTTAAGAATGTTGCCTCGCCCATCAGTCAAACAGGAGGAAAAGTGCATCTATTGCCTCTTGCATTGAACCATCTTGAACCCGAACTTCTGCCTTGAAACTGCTCCTTCCATCTCCTCTCCTTCACGTGGCCCCCCATCTCCACCCGAAGCCCATTGTTCGCAGCTCGGCTGGAAGCGGTCGCTGTTCATGTTGTTGAAGCTGACCTCGTTTTCTCGCTGTTCTCGGCGGCTTTTTGAGGGGTGGGTCGCCAGGACCCAAGAGTTACCATCAGATCACTCGCAGCTTCGTCGACGGCGATGAGCTCAAGTTGGGAGAGTACAACACGGCGGCAGCTGGGTCCATTTCATCGGGAGGACGCGGACGGTGTTTTGGTCCTTTTCGGGAGAGCTCCGGAGGCACCGGAGAAGGGCGGTGGAGTGTGGCGTTTTTTTCTTTTTGTTGGGGGGGAATGTTGGAATGGTGCTTTGAATGGGTGAGTCAGGCGTTTGGGCAGGAGTTCCGGGAGGTGCTTTTTCCGCTTTGGAAGAATGGCGTGGATAGTGGATAGAGTGTCCAGTGTTGGGTACCCTGCTGCGAAAAATTGCAGCTTCTCCTGCAATGTACAAAAGCCGAGAAAAGCCTTAAGCCAGTGAAAATGTCCTTTGAGAATGGGTGTTCAACGGCTTTTCAGCATGCACAGTTCATAAAAATTATAGATATTTATATAGATCATAAAAGCTGGTCTAAGAAGATTAACATGTCCACTGTTCATGTTGCCTTTGAAGTCATATGTTGCCTTAGACTCCAACTCAGATTTCACATTTTGTGAAAGATGGCGTATTCGGCATGGCAGGAAGCGAACTCCACTTCATGTCAGTCACAGTCTGTGTTTTTGTGGGTGTCTCTGAAAAGAGGGAGATCACATGAGATCACCTGTAAAGAATCCATTTGCGAAATAGTGAAAACAGCTTGAAAAGCTGTCCAGAACCCACTTGTTGAGGGTGTTTCCCTGTGTTCATCCACACCATCAGCATGACAAAACCTCAACACTGTGCGTCTCTGGGTGTCTTTTGCGAGCTCTCCGGTCTGATCCTGGACGTCCTTGCCACCGGTCGCCGACCGGCCATCAATGGGACCTCGGGCACCCTAAGAGCAAACACACCACACCCGAAGTCTTCAGTCCAGATGTTCAGCTCAAGACTAAAGGAAATGGATGAGGCTCGGATCATCGGATCAGACCATTCTTCCACCATCTAAAGAATCCAAAGACCATGTTTCTTCAATGATCTAAAGACATTCTTCAATGATCTAAAGGCACCCATTCTTCAACGATCTGACCATTTGTTACCATCGTCTTATCCCTGTCGTCCCTGTCCATCCCAACGACATGGGATCTTCCACCGTGGTCCCGGCGTTGTCCATCATTGCCTGCACAGGCGTTGTGTGTAGGCATGGACCGCACAGCACATTTTCCACGTGTTGTTTCGCCTGTCGCTTCCCGCTGTTCAGATGTTCGGATGATAGATCACTAGCACTTTCCCAGACAGTGTTTCTGGCTAGGTCCGCTACGCATGCATCCCGTTCAACCTCAGCTGGCAGCATCCCATCTAGCTGAAAAAGCTTGGAAGCTCCATGTTTCACCCGAATGAACAGCCACTGAGCCACTGAGATCTTGGTGATTGCAAAGCTGTGGATCTCCTGCGAGGAGCGGATCGAGGCCACACCGGCCGGTCGAGTCATAACCGTGCTTCACCGTGGTTTCACCGTGTTTCACCGTGTCGGTTTGGGGGTGTTTGAGGAGATCCCTTGGTGACTGAGAGACCCTTGGTGTTTGAGGGTGAACCTGAACCTGGGATCGGAACTGATGTGCTATGATGAAGGGCATGTCCTTGAGGGTCTTGGGCAGGAGGCCAAAAGGACCCCGTGACTAGGCCTAGCAAATCGCAAGATCAGCCTTAGCTGATCTAAAGGGATGACAGTAGGACTAAACTGTGACATATGTGACATAGGAGTCCAAAATGATAGTACTATATAGTACTCAGATATTGTCCCTGTGGGTTGCGAATAACAACCACATCGGTGTTTGACCCTGAATAGTCTCCCTGGCTGGCTGGGAGAATGGAGAAAATAGTAAAGGTCCGATCCAATCATTTTAACCTAGCTTGGAACGTTGGCATTCCAAGTAACGTTTCGAGGAATCTCTTACTCGCCGCAATTGAACAGCTATGACGATTGTCACCAACCAGAAGAGCTTCCAAATCTCCCAATCACCATGCCGCAGATGACCTGCACCAAAGCCACCTTTCTATTCCAAACCCCCTTCCGAAAGCCACCGGTGTCCGATCCAGCTCGTTCGTTTTGAGCGATCCATCTCCCGGTGTCCGCACCAACAACGCAGCACGAGGGGGGGGGGGCCGTTCCAGGCGAAGTGCGGCGCACGCACACCGTTGGGTCTCACCACCAACAACGCTGCTGGGACGGGCAGGTTGACGGAACGGGCCGGGCCAGCGGGCCGAAGTGGTGCGGTGCGGATGGCCGGTTCTGGCCTAAGTGCGGTCTGGCCGAATGGTCGGTTGGTTGCACTCTTTCTGGAAGACCATGTTCTTCTACAAAGAAATCTTGTTCCACTTCCATGACTATGTGAGGGAGGGAAAAGCCATTTAATAGAGGGGGATCAAGAGTACAGCCAAGAAGTGTACCCCTCTATTGTTTCCAGAAGGACGTCATTGGCAGTGCCTGCAGTGAATCCCATTGCCAAGGTGAACAACTTTCAGAGTCGTCGAACCATGGAGATGGCTGGCTGGTGCGGCTCTCAGGTCCAACGGAGGCTGTTTTAAGGATTGGAGAGTATCGAACACCTGTGCTACAGGCTACAGAAATATACAGTGTACTAATGGGTACTACCTTCTAAAACAAAGCTTCCCTGCAGCAGTACCCAGACTAAAGTTCCAAGAAGAAGGAAGGATCTGAGAAGCACAAAATACGTGTTCAAACCAGAAAAAACGCTGGTGTTGCGTTTTGAAAACAGTCGCTCGTCGAGAGCAGAACGTGGTCTTTCTACGATTCATTTCATGGCAAAGCTTTCTGCCAAATGCAGATCACTCCATCAATTAGGGGATCATACTGTCCATGTGTTACCATGTTTCTTGCGGGGGGGGGATTTGAGCCAATTCATGGTCAACATGAGTCATGATGTTCGACATGGTCAACATGAGGAAACGAGTCGTATCGCATCGTGCGGCCGAGGACCTTCAAGAATTGGCAAGACGCGGACTTCAAGCACAAGAACTATAAGAAAGGAGTTCCTGGTGGGCCGCTTCCCTTGGACGTTTTGGCTTCAAACCCGGTGGGTTTCTTCGTTTCTCCAGCTGTTCGTGCGCGGTGCGGGGTGCCGGAAGGTGGAAGGTGGGAGAATGGAATCAAGCCTCCGGGATGAAAGAAAAACGTCGCGTTTGGCATGGCTTTGGGACTCGACATTTGCCAAAAGAAGCCGGCACAGAGGGAGGTTGGACAGACATGGGCTGACTTGATTTATGACCAAGTGCGACACCAAAAGGAACGGATGGGGGTGTGAAAGTAGGGAGATCTTCTTCTTTCGACCCCCGCCGTTGAGGGAAAATCGACCAAAGCCATCCAAAACCCAGCCAGGGCTAAGGGGTCCTTCTGTGAATCCCCTGGAAGTCCAATTTCGCTTCTCCGAAAAGGAATGTCCTGTACTTCAGTTGGTCAACAAAAGTCTTTGGACTTCTAGTATACAAACCCAGATCAAACCAATCGAACATGTCTTGACTTCTCATGACTTTGTCTCATGCCGTACTTGGTTCTCAGCTGTCTTTTCTTCAACCTCGGCTGTTTGTTCCACGAAACGGGTGACTTAGCGAGTTGTCGTGGCCGTTGATCAGGTCCTACTGGGGATTCCATGGTGGCGATAAAGCCCTGGAGATGTCGCTGATTCTGAAAGGCCAAGCGATGGCGATGAGATGCGATGAGCGATGGTGCCAAACCATAGTGGTTTTGGGGGTTCTTGACGAGGTGAGTGTCCTTAGGGGGAGGGTACGATGCATTCCTAGACTCGGGGAGCACGCAGATTACTCGCTACCCACCTTTATTGTGCGGGCTTTCTTGCAGTCTTTGGGCAGATGGGAAGTGAATTTGCGATCTGCACCAGCATCCGTTGGCAGGAAGTGGGCGCATAGCACTTTGGTACGGCAACCTGGATTTGTTTAGGGTGATTTGTTATTTTCCCTATGAGTTTGTTTCTACCCGGCTTCTTGGATGCTTGCCTTCCTCCAAGGCAAGCAAATCAAGCATGGCTCCGTCGAGGTGATGATCAACGACAAGCGACAGGATCAAATCAAGAAAGGCCGCCCCCCGGTCTCGAGAATCGCCCCCGCTCCCGGGCGCGGGGCCCTCCGCCTGACGTTCCAAGCTGGTCAAATGAGCCCACTGTTTGCAGGGATTACACACTGTGACAGGTGACACTTGCTGCATATGTTTTAACCGATTTAGCTGCTTAGCTGTATTGATTCATTGGCCTACTAAAAACCTTCTACTAAAAACCCTTAAGGCCCAAAGGTCAACATCGCAATGGGCTTTCCCAAACGAGAAGCTGGCCAGTTTGTCTTCGAGCAGGCAAGAAGGTGTTGAACAAGTACTTGGAGTTGAGCTTCAAAGATTCTTGGCATTCGAACGGCCATGTGGTCAGACGTCCCGACGTCCAACCAGCCCGAACATGTTTGGCAATTCCTAGATGTAGAAGGAGCCTCAGCCTCAGCCAGAAATGGTTTGTTTAGGGGAGATCGCGAGTCCCTGCGCAGAGTCCAGTCTTGCGAGACGGTCCTTTGGTTCATTTGGTTCCAAAATCTGCTCATGTTCTGGATGCACATGTGCTCATTTATGATAGTGTGCAGGTTCCTTCCCTTTCTTTCTTCGTGTTTATCTGGAGAGTCACTCTGGTGTGCTGTTTTTTCAGTCTGCTGATAACCGACGGCTATATTGCTTCAACATCACCAAGAAAGTGTCCATTTTGCAAATATATATATATATATATACTGGCACAGTTACTGGCACATATCATGGCGTGGTTGAAGCCAGGTGGTGCCCACTGCCACTGCGATCTGGTACTTGTGGAGGAGGAGGAGGAGGAGGCGAGGAGAGGAAGAGGAAGAGGAGGAGGAAGAGGAGGAGGAAGAGGAGGAGGAAGAGGA